AATTTGAGCTCTTCTCCTTCTCCAAATCATCGCAGTCGCCGCTCTCAACCAAAAATCACCAATTTCTTCAAACGCAACTCAAATGCGCCACAAATCAACGTGATTCATCAACAATTCATCAACTCAGTACTGTCATCAGCCAGCATGTACATTCAAAACGTTCGTAGTCTCCGCTCCAAATCGAAAAAATTCTACTGCAATTCATCAGCTACTGAATATACCATCATTTCGCTGACGGAGACATGGCTTACCAGTGGCCATAATTCTTCTGAATATTTCTATGAAACATATTATGTGTTCAGAAAGGATCGCTGTGAAACAAATTCAATTTACGAAAGAGGTGGCGGAGTGCTAATTGCAGTTCGCTCTCATCTCATTTGCAATGACATCGTATTGACTGGTACAGCCAACATCGAATGTGTATGTGTAAAAATTCAAACAGCGAACAACTCCAATGTGTTCATTTACAACGCATACATTCCACCACACTCGGATGAAAATGTTTACATCGCTCACTTTCGTGCGATACGCGTTCTGTACGACATGTCAAACCAAAAGGACACAATTATACTGACTGGCGATTTCAACATTCCAAATTCAAATTGGGTTCCGGATGAAACCGAGACGAATGTACTTCTACCAGCATAAATCCCACATATCGACTCCAATTCCTTCGTCTCAGGTGTGATGTATTCTTCACATTCGATTTCTTCAAGCACTACAATCATAACTCTGCCTCCTCTGTTCAATGCTACATTGGAATCACAGCGGTCTTTCCTGAAGACTTTGTATTTATTGTCAATAAATTCGTTATTATAATGTCCCGTTTTTATGATTTCATAATCGGCCGCAGCCGAAGAACATTGTATCTCGTGCTTAATGCTCATGACACTGCGCATATTTTCATGGGATATTTTAACATTTTCAGCACACTAATTCTCCACTTTCGATTCTTCTTGGTTCCAATATCGCCGACTACGTCGTCACCAGGTTCGTCACTACTGGTGCTGAAAAATCCTGCGAGTGAAGTGTGGCGACAGCCGATGTACCTTGCCTTTACTTTTGAACTTCTCACTTATGTAATTTAAGTTCGGTTGAAACAGATGAGTGTAAATTGTATCGATTGTTTCAATTTTGAAGGATACTAATGACAAAAGTGAGACGTCTTGATTTTTCTTTGGCAATCTGATGATTTTAATTTTGTTCATATCGAAAACTCCCTGGCAAGAAATGTTAAATGTACTCCAAATACGATTAAAACACATACACTCCATAACGGAGCAAGTGTTTGTACGAGCGTATTCCACTATGGTGTACAATACACTCTGTATCACCCATATTCAAAAAGTGCGTCAGATCGGACATTGAAAACTACAGGTGCATAGCAAAACTACCAACGATCGCTAAATTCTTCGAGCACCTCGTCAACGTTAATTTGCTTGAAATTGTTCGTGATCGCATCTCGCCAAACCAACATGGATTTATGAAAGGACGATCTACAGCATCAAACCTAACCGAGTTTGTGTACTACGCCCAGAGTGGCCTGAAAATTGGAGCTCAAGTCGATGTCCTGTACACGGACTTTACGAAAGCCTTCGATCGAGTAGATCACGAATTATATTATTGATTCGAAAATTAAGGTCATTTAATGTGCCTCAAAATTTGCTGGCATGGCTTAAGTCGTACCTGGAAAATCGCGTTCAATTTGTCAAGCACGGAGCAAGTGAGTCGAACGATTTTACAGCGTCTTCGAGAAAGCTTCCGGTGTCCCACACGCTTCAAGCCACCTTGGCCCAACACTGTTCCTGCTATTCATCAACGACGTCGTGGATCAAATGCCCCCATGACATCATGATATTGCTGTTCGCTGATGATATCAAAATTACCAAAGTCATCAAATCTCAGCAAGATTTAGAGATATTGCAACAAGCCATCGACAGCCTTTAACATTGGTGTGACGTGAATCGGCTGCACCTTAACCTCAATAAATGTGCAGTGCTATCTATCTACAAGAAACGTCAGCATTTGGATACAAACTACACCTATGGCGACCATACCTTCGACAAAGTGACTGAACACAAAGACTTGGGTGTCCTAATTGACAGAAAGCTATCTTTTGCCAAACACATCGACATGGTCACTTCGAAGGCAACGGCCGCACTTGGCTTTGTCAAACGCTTCTGCTACGATATCAGCGACGTTACCACACTAAAGTCGCTATATTTTGCATTAGTTCAATCTCACCTCGATTATTGCGCCATGGTATGGCTTCCATTCCACAAGATCCACAGCGACCAAATTGAATCCGTGCAACGCCAATTCACTATGTACGCTCGTCGAGAATACCCATCCGTGCATAACCAATACTCAATCACACCGTACGAGCAGCGATTGTCAGACTTGAACATGATTAGTCTTCGCCGTCAACGTGTCAACGCATCATTGACTTTCTTTTACGACATCATCAACGGTAACGCTAACTGTCCAACAGTTAGAGACCAAGTCTCATTTCATCATGGCAGTTCGTTGAGGCACAGTGAACAATTCAAGGTCAATGACAAGCACATGAAGTTGGTGCGCAAGGCTCCAGTTCCTAAAATGTGCAAAATGGCGAACATTGTGCCGGAACTGTTCACAACAGCGACCTCAAAGACGAATTTTGCATCGTCGGTCCGCAAAATGACGGACACCACTTTTGGATCGCTTTGCAAACTCAAATGACTACCTGGCCGCCTAGTCAATTTTTCATCCAGGTAACCTCATTTTTTGTATATGTTCTCTACGAGAACACCTTGAGACTGCCCACATTAATGATGAAATTTCGATTTTCATGTTGCCGTTAAACCCGATCCATGATCCCAAGCGGACGAATTCATCAAGGACAAAGCATACTGCCCGGATGCCATTTGGGTTGCTTCTGATTGCAACAAACATGAGCGGGGCTGTCCCAGGTCCCAACTACCCACGTGGAATTCTACTCATCTCACACGGATCACACAGCAAAATCAATATTAAAAGACTGACGAATTTTTCCATACATTCTTTTATGTGTATTGAAAAGATGATACTTATCTGTGATGTTTACACTTATTAATTGTAGATTTTTATTTTGATTTTGTGCTTTGTTGTAGCCATCCACGAGTTGGCGAGTTAATATTCTTATCTTTGAAGTCAATTTTGAATTATTTACCATTTAGCATCAAATGATCTAGTTACGTTTCAAATTATGGTCCATGACAACTCAATGCACTCTGCAATCAACATGGATCTGCCTTAACCGACGTAAAACTTCTCATCAATTTATCTATCGGATAAATTGAGTGACGACTTTTGCAGTCTCAAAGTCTTAAATTTAACGCGTAACAGTTCAGCTTCACATAGCCTTTGTCCCTTTGGAAACGTTTACCAAAGGTTATCCTGGACCGTTTGCTATAGACTACTATCAAGCATTTCCATCTTGGTTGTATGACTGTTTTTGTTTTCATGTTCCTACTATTGTGATTACCTCATAATTTACGAAAAGAGCCAGATTTTTAACGAGGCGAAAACTGAAAGTTATCGAAAGTTACTGCTACTATTGTTCATTATTTATAAAAATTGTAACAGTCTTGCACTCTTTTCCGGCCAAACTTCTAACAAAACCCACATTATATTCAGCCAGAGCTTGGCGGTGTTTAATAAAATAAAATAAAATAAAATATTACACCACAGTGGAATACACTCATACAAACACTTACTCCGTTATGAAATGTATGTGTTTTAATCGTATTTGGAGTGAAAACTCAAAATTTAAACGGATAGTGATCTGAATGAAGTTTTAATCAAGTGCTTCAAAAATACCTGACGTATTGCATAATAACAGGTTAAATTTCTCGGATAAACGCCTGGGTAATTTGGAGATTGTAAACGGCAAGCCTTTTTGTCACAATCACTGAAGATTCGGGAACAATGCGTACCGGATATCAGGGTTCCTACAGTTTCATTTAAAAAAGAATACATAGATTATTTTATATTTGTATTTTTAAAGAGCACTGTAAAATATAGCCACATTTTACAAAGAAAAATAATTCCAAATTTAATTGCATTTGAGAGCATCATCAAAAGATTGTTGTACTGTGTAATGGCAAATTGCGGTAATTTGAGATTTTGTGTGTTAAATATCACGAAAAAATTAATTGAACTTCTGTCAAGTTTTGTTCACACGATGGGAAGTAAACATGAAAAATCTTTTGAACTTTTCTGAATAGATTTTACCGATTTTTTAAGATCGAAAATCATCAAGTCACGAAGAAAGTCGTACAAAAGAAACCATCATAACCCGAAAAATCTACAAAATAGCTAAAATCTTCAAAAACTTCCATACAATATATCAACGTATTATAATAATTCAACTATATTGCTTGCATGCATGGTTTCAGAAAATACCTAAATAATATTTTGGCTCAGTTTTATTCCCATAATAGCCGTTGACGCCTTTGTTTGAGTGGATCGGCCATACTCCATGAGGCTTATTCAGTATAAATCCTTTTGATTGTTTGATACCAATTTTATCGGAATTTCTTTCATCTGTATTAAAATGTATGTTATGGCTGTGATGGTTGTTGTTGTTGTTGATGTTAATGTTCTCATGATTGATTTTATTATTCATCTTATTATTATTGTTGATTGAAGGATAATCAAAGTCATCGTAATGGACATTTTGATGAAGAGTTTTTCGGTTCTGATTATTTTCTCTATCCTTCTCTTTTTCTTTTGTGCGGTCTCGGTCTCGATCTCTCTCTCTGTCTTTATCTCTATCTTTTTCTCTGTCTTTTTTTCTGTCCTTATTACGTTTGGACGAAGTGCTTGAAGAAGCGTTGTTTTTGACTTGGTTTTGACTAACAGTTCGAGTTGTCATTACCCAGTTATCTTCTAAAAATGAGAAGAAGAAAAAAACGAAATAAAAAAATATAATTGCTGAAAAGTTTTTCCAATCACGAACGATTTTCACTCAGTTAATCAATACATTTTAGCAAACATGTACAACATTTACGAAGGTAATTTAACCCATTAACTACCAGTGGTCGATTTTTCGACCAGTGACCTTCGATATTTTTCTCAGGGTCTATCCCTCTCCCCAGAGGGGGAATTCGATTAACTTTTTTTTTCTAAAATAAAGTTTGAAATTCATACTTCCCAATGAGAATATTACAAAATAAATAAAAACGTTTCAAATTGGTCGGATCGATCATCGAATGAAACCAGAAATTTTGGAAAAAAAATCTCTTAAGAAATTCTACAAATTTGTACTGAATTCTCAATTTTTCAATCGCTGTTGAAGATAAATGGGACTCATATCTCACGATTTGCGAAGTCTGCTGTTATTTTTAGACCAAAATTGATAATATGTGAAAGTATCACGCAATTTGAAAACAAAATAAAAATCCTGGTAATTAATGGGTTAAAGATGATAATTTTCGTCAATGTATCAAAATCTACTTTAAATTGTCTATATATTCAATATCATAGTTAAAGTTCTTCGCTATAACCGCCTTATTAATCAATAGGATGGAATGTAGTGTGTTTAAAAATACAGTGGAGCATGTTTGGATCTAATTATTATGATGTCAATATAAGATTGCCTTGTTTTGGCAGGTTTGAATCCACTTGAAGAAACCGTTCGTATTTATTGGAAGATGGTTTTTCTTTGCATATTTCCGAAAGAAAAAGGTGGAGTTCCATGACTTCAGTCAATGTATCACTCCTTGATATAAATGATGGCTCTCCTTAGCGCTATGGCAATGTATTTACCTTCATTGGGTTCATTGTCTTTGAAGATATTCTTGTTGTAGTAACTTGTACTACTACGGCTAGCATTTTTCATATTTTCCGGAGCCCCACCAAAACGAACGACTGCATTTTCTCGAGATAAAACTTTGTAAGATATGCGAAAATCAAAATTATATCCATTGCTTTTTGACGGGCTGATGGTTGTTCGAACGATGTTTTTGAATCATGAAATTTAAGATTGATAAAGATTATGGTTTTATTTTGCTAAAGGTTAGGTTTTGCTTCGTTCGTTCGGTTTTTTCATACCAAGAGTTGATTTCATAAATCACTTTACTTAAACCTTTTAGCGACGTCTCGCTGCAACTACGTAAGTGTCTGGTCCAAAAAAATAAGCTGTCCCCCATCCGAAAAGTCCGGCCAGTTTCGAAAAATATACGTCGAAAAAATAGGTTTGGCGCAAAGAACGCTTATATGTACAATATAAAAACCCATATTTGCGACATTTTCTCAACAAAAGTCGATTTTTTAGAGTTGAAATCGAATATAAGGCTAGAAATAGGTGAAAACATGTCTCGACTTGGTTATGTAGGCACCCAAAATGTTGGTGAAGGATCATACTCTTATATATTACTCAAAGATAGCATAGGTAGAAATCGTTTGCTTTCATCTGTCAAATCGAAGCCCATAGTCATGATTTGATCATTTTTGTCCGAAATTTCCCATTTATGTGTGAATCAATTGGCACCGAATTCCATCCGAATCGCAATCTGGCAAGTACCAAAATGTTTGTATAGGTTCTGGCTACACGACACAAGTCTTAAACTGAACAAAAGTCTACCATCAGGTGTCTTGTATAGGGTCAAATGTGAAAAATGCCGAAAAATTGCCTTTTTTTGGTCATTTCACACTGTAACTGGCCCATAATGCCTTTTCAAAGGCTGATGTCTTGGTAAAAGTTATAGACATTGACGAGCCAAACAGAACCTCATCATCAAATTTTGCCAAATTTGGTTGGAATAATGGAATCGGTCGAAATGTTGCGATCTAAATGGCTTCCGAAAACACTGTCATGAAAATTTTGATATGGGGCTTGCCATGGGATTTTATATATTACCCATATGCGTTCTTTGCGCCAGACTATTTTTTCGAGGTATTTTTTTCGAAACCGGCCGGACTGTTCGGATGAGGGACAACTTTTTTTTCGATCAGTCTAATACGCCTTGCATTTCTTCTTCTTATTTAATTATGTATGATACTATTTTCTGCTGTAAGTCTGTATCTAGGGGCTTCTATGTCGGTTTGCCATTCGAATTTTTATTTACAAATTTGCGTTCAGTGCCATGCATTCACAACGCTGTCATATGATTTCTATGTAAACATTCGCACTCGCATTCGTATAGCAGTCGTATTTCGCTGTTCTCGAACGTTCTCACGAATGCGAGTGCGAATGTTTACATAGAAATCATACGGCAGCGTTGCGAATGCGTGCACAAACACGAATGAACGAATGAATTATGTAGTCACAGCCGCATTTGTCGCATTCTCAAACATTCGAATTTTTGTTCTGAAATGCGAATGCATTCGCAGCATTTGCGAGAGATAAATCCCCTTAGTCTGTACATATATTGTCGCAGTGAGATGTCGCTCCAGCACTATGAAAAAAAAAACAATTGTGTCTTGTTTCACGCTTAAAATACAAAGAAAGTAATTAATGTTATAAATTCTACGGATGAGATTGATAGCTATCAATAGTAGAGTATGTTTCACTGATTTTGTAATTAAAGAAAAAACTTTTATCAACTTGAAAATGGCTAAAGGAAAGTAGGTTCATATTCTGCGGCTCATCGTGGTTTTTTTCTGGATCTTAACGAAAATCCAAGAGCCTAGCCGAGGGTAAGCCAGGCGGTTGCCCATACCTTCGTCAAAAAAGCCAGAAATGTCCTCGTTTTTAGTTATCGTCAGTCCTTTTTTGATAATCGAAAGACAGGTGAGCATAAGTTCAAAGAAAGATAACTAAAAGCGAGGACATTTTATAATATTTTTCAAATCATTTTCTAAAAAAAAACCTTTTGGAAATTTTTTTCATATACTTCGGTCGTTCTGTTGAAAAAAAAATATTTCATAAATATTTCCTACAATTCATGTTTGCTTGATTTCATCATTTTTGTCATTGAAATCAATCCAGGTTTTTAACGAGGCGAGAACTGATAGTTATTGCTATTGTTATTATTAATCATTGTAAACTAATAAAAATTGATGTAACAGTCTTGCACTCTTTTCCGGCCACAACTCTACTTATTATATAGTCAGTCTGTTCTTGGCGGTGTTAAATAAAATAAAAATCAATAAACCGCAACTTGTCATCATTTGTAAACTTGACACTTCATCTATTTTATCAACGTCGCTTGTTTCCATTCGAAACTTCAAATACATGTTGTAATTTATGGTATTTGATAAGTTTTCAATTTGTGTGTTTTCTATGAAAAACATGACAAATTTAAAATTTTAAACCATAATTTAATGGTTTTCATAAGAAATTCAGTGAAACACGCTCTACTCTCAATCTCACCCATAGAATTTATAACATATTTTGCTTGCCATGTATTTCAATTGTAAAAAACCGAACGAACGAAGCAAAAGTGTTTGACGGCCTACACTCGCTAAAGGATGTATATAAAAGCGTCTTACCGTAATATTTTTAAAATCATAATTAATGTACGTGTTTCACTGTAAAAAATGACGGGTCCTTCGTCCATAGTACCACACCACATGCCACCAACTGATGTACGAGATGCTTCTGATATTTGCAGAAAACCATCCGGACATCCTTCCATTACATATGAACAAAATCTTCCAACCGAAAAACCATCGATTGTTATCTACAAATTGATAGAGAATTGCATTATATGGAGCAAGCAATAGTAACAATACATATTACTGAACAACACATACCTGAACAATGTCGCCATGACTTCCGCCAGCAGCTGTAAAGTTCAATTCACATATGAATGGCAATCGATCATCTTTGGGTCGAATAAGCTCTATAGTGTTTGTCATTCCCAAATTTCCGTAATAAGTGCGATTGCAACCTATAGAAATGTGAAAACACATTATTTGAGTTATACTATTGAGTTGTTATGGTTACTTGGATTACTTGATTTTATAATAAACTATCCTATTTGCACTACGAAAAAAAAGAGATTTATTTAAATGAATTACAAAAATCAAGTATTATTCAGGGGGCCAAAAAGCTCCTCAAAAAAAATTAGCTATCTACAATTTAAAATGAACTAAATCGAAAATTAGTTGGTCATAAAGTTCCCAACAAAATGTAGCGTATTTAATACAAAATCCCGTTGGTAACTAAAGTTACCAGAATAGATTCCCAATGGCAACGTGAGTAACCAATTCATTTTCGATTTGTTAAATATCTTCCCGTTTAAAATGCATTGACGCTTCCACTCCTTGCTATTATTTATTCATATTAAATAGGCTTCCCTGTTTTAAATCTGCGAAAGGTGTTGTTTTGAATAGAGTTTTGTCGTTTTCATTATTGAAAATTATATTTTCAGTACTGAACTGTTCATTACACACATATGAATATCGTTTGAACTTCAAGTTAATAAATTCCTATGTCTGGTCTGTAACAAGACTGTTATATTTGGTAGCTTTGAACAAATGAATCAAAACTATTTTGTGAAGCGGATTTGAGTAAACATGTCTACATCCTGTATTTAAGTGCAGGAAATTTTCATTCACCAATCCAACAAATGTATGAGCACAGACATGCTTAACACTCACGTGTGCAGAACCTTGGTTCATCTGAGTTATCATCACAATCATTGACTCGGTCACAGAATTTTGAGGCTGGTATGCATTTGCCATTAGTGCAAGCATATTCCGAAAGTGAACATCCGATTAATGGTTCTCTTATGTCTAGCTTGTATGCAGCGGCTGTGCCCAAAAGTTCCCCATCGTACGTTTCCGTGACGGTTTTAGTGAACGAAATATTAGTATTTATTTCAAGAGCATCTTCTGAAGGAGTCGCAGTCGGTGCTATCGTGGAAAATATATCTGCAAAATTGTACTGATTTTTCCCAGTATTTGTTTCGGTCACATGTTGTCTTATGTCATCATTAAAATTGGAGTTTGTCGTTAATGTAAATGTCACATTCAATAAATTGATCCAAATCAGGTATGAGTATACACATTTGATGAATAATTTCGAGACATCTGTGAATTTGATATCAAAATGAAATCGGTTAATATATATTATTGAAATATTTATGAAATCTATATAGTGAAATTCTTTAAAAAATCTTAATCTCAAACGGAAAATAATTTCTAAAAATAAAACAAATCAATTATGATGCAATATGCTTTCGCTACCAAACTCCTACCGGTGAATATTTTCAAATCGGTCTTTCACATTTCTATCGAGTATGGAGAAGATAAAATGTTTTTTCTACAAAAGGGTATGTTATTACAAGATGCTATAGCCCGCAACTGCACATTCAATAGATATTTTTTTTAATTTGGAACTTATTTAATGCGGAAAAAACTATACGGTTTAATAATTATTACGGTTATTCAATATACATATAACATTTTCAATCAAATCAGTAAGTATTGTTCAAAACCAAAAACTTTCTTTTCTCCGTTTTTCTAGGATTTAAAATGTCGACATATGTCGTTTATACATATTTTATATTTGGACAGATGAAAGATATAAATAAATTTAAAATAATTTTAAAGAATTATCAAACAGTTGCAAAACTTTCATAGAAACAGCTGCGATGGCCGAGCGGTTAAGGCGATGGACTAGAAATCCATTGGGATCTTCCCGCACAGGTTCAAATCCTGTTCGCAGCGAATATTTTTTTTTTAACTACATCAGAGGTAAATGTGACCAAGCATGTGAATTTTAGTATTTTCCAAGCACTCATATGATACTTATATTTAGCACAGTTGTTGTTTCTTCAATTTTATGTGTTAAATCCAATGAAAGTCTCCAAATGAAGAAATAATTTATCTAAAAATTGCACGCTTTCAACGAGACACATTCTTCTGTATATAAAACATATTCAAACCTACGAATTCGCAGTGAAAACAATATCCGATTTGTTTCAGACTGAATATTACACTTCAATATTAGCTCTTCTATATCATAGTTTTTTTAAATGTGTTTGTTCGCAACAACATTCAATACATCACAAAATATCTGGTTTGCCAATAATAATATTATATTTAGGAAAAGTTCTATTTTATACCTATCATTTTATTTTATCCATTTATTTACTTACGCATTGTTTTTGTTCTGAACTTTTAAATATCCCACCAAACTTCAGTAAAAGTATCCAAGTAGCCCTTTTTCTTCTCTTTCAATCCAAAATAAACACTCACGATGCAAGGCTTTGATGTATTTTTGGAATCTGTTTTCACATTGTATCCTATTAGAGTGGTTGCTTATTTCAATCGATTTGTTTAAAATATTCTCCATTAAACTGGTTTTTCATTCATTTTTGTACACTGGACCCATCATAACGGAACACCTTGATTATATAATAGGTTGGAAATAATTTAAATTTTCACACATTTTTCATTTGTCAGAAAGAACTCCACTCTCAGCCTAACCCAACTCAAATAACTTGCATTCATTCATGAAAACAACTGTAAATACAACAGCTGCTTTGTGGAAGATTCCTCAGAAGAACGGTCAAATATATGATTAAACACGAAGTTGATGTACATAAAATGTTTGATAAAACCATAGAGTTTGTAAAACTTCATGTGACTGTTTAGAAAAGTAAAATATCGTGTTCATTAAATTTTGCATTTACGTTATGTAAGCATTTGGTGTATTATATACATATATCCTTGCGGAAAAAGCATGCTCCAATTCATGAATGCCAGTCAAAAGGCGTTTTTCATATAGACGCAGACACTCGCGAAGGTTTTAATAAGTTAGAATACTCCATGGGTAACTAATGCTTTAGAATTGAGATGAATTTCATTTGAAAATCATACACCTATTTTTACAGATGAGTTCAGGCATTTGAATACAATTTACTTGAAATGATATACTGTTGGTATATTCTCGAGCTAATACTTTATAGCGATTTGATGGACCAATACAACACAATTGAATTGGTATATGAACACTTTTACTTAAAAAGTAATGGAAACTGGGATCAACTTCCAATGGTTTTTTTCTTCTAAAACTAGGGTGCATTTTTTTTGGTTTTATCTTGTTTCGTTTCCACCTCATCGATGACATTACATCACTTTAACATTTTGCAAAATATGTGGTCATTAGCACTGCATATTGTATTGAGCCTTAGCACTATTTTTCGGCACTAAATCTATGCAATTTTTATTAAAAATAATTGAAAATGCAGTAGTGAAACGTAATAGCTCATAATATATAAGCATATATTCAAAATGTAAGCACATAATAACCAGACATGTTCCATAAAATATAAGAAGTGTTATCCTGAAAATCCGGGCTGGGTGTTAACGTAAATGTGTTACGAGCCCATTTTTATTCGGTTACTTATGAAAATACGTTTTCCAGGATTGTCCATTTTTTATGGCAACAAAAAAAATTATTCAACACTTTTGTCCAATAGCTGAGAGTGGATTGTAATTGATTGTGCTACAATTATATATTTTGTTACTTCTTTGAAAAGTTTGTCTACTAGATAAAATACGTTTATGATGTGTAGACTAATAGATCTGCATCTCGACTAGTATTCATTGCGACATACATCGGATTCATTCGCAGCGGGTATAAGCTTAAAATCTGAGTTTTCTTCGAACGAAAAAAGCGAAAGCTTTGCCCATTATTACCAATACATGAACAATTCACGTTCAATGGCACCTACTCCGGTCGTTTCTCCATGTACAGCATATCATACTTGAAATAAGGTCAGTTAACAAGCATGCGTGAACTGAATATGCTCCTGTTGTCAAATACGATGTATGTATATTTACAGTATTTAGGGAATGGAAAAAAAGGAATAAAAAATTCAAACATTATAACGGAATTTTGTGATGTGGATAGTCAAAGGTAGAATTGGCTATTCTGTCAAATATACTTGAAATAAAATTCCAATTATACGAAGCATATTAATAATAACAATTGTTTTAGAAGAATGATGTTTTCTTCACCCTCTAATTTACATGTTTTCTTGACTTCTTTGACAAGAAACGTTTTCGGTTTGCTGCAAAACACACAATTTAAACACAGTTGTGCCAAAAATGATTGGAACGAATACGCCATGACATGAACATCTCTTTATATGAGGAGCTCTTTCCAAATATAGTGGGATATTTTTTATTGACATAGACAAATTTTTCTCACCTATGGGATAGCCGAAGCAACGCCATCTATTAATATCTTCTGAAAGCGATTGCTTGTGATTTCATATTGACATTGCTGTGATAGGTCTTACAAGACGTCAACAACAAAAACATGACCTTACCAAATAATGTTCAAAAAGAAAAAAGACAATGAAATATACACATTTTGTGTGTGCTACTTTGATCAGTTAAAGCCATTGTAATATGGTAATCTATCTTGAACACACAACATGTTCATAGATGACCTTGTTTCCGTTGAATCACGAGTTAAGTAAACTTATTCGCGAGTTATTGTAGATAAACAGAACCATTGGTTTGCTGTTTCTTTAAATATCCCAAAATATTTTCACCAAATCCAGATGGTAAAATTTTTCTCTTGTCTATTGAAGAAGCGGAACATGGTTGGATCGGTATGTATATATTTACAATTTGGAAAAACAACAAAAAAAAATTTCCCGTAGAATATTCAACAATTTTGTACATATTTGTGTTAGCTGCCCGTTCATTATGTTGACACCAAATACGAGAAAGCCACTTTTGGTATGGAAAAAATAACAAAAAAATCTTCATGTACAGCAAATACGAGACAGATATTGTACATTTTTTGTCTATAATTTGCAGGCATGGGCTGTTTTTGGTCTGGTGAATCGCTGTTCGGGGGGCAAATTGGTGTATTGCGAACAAAAGTAGGGTATTCAGGTGGCACCAGTCCAACGGCCAAGTATAGAGAAATAGGCGATCACGTGGAATGCGTTTCAGTGGATTATGATCCAAAGAAAATTTCTTATAAGCAACTATTGGACTTATTCTGGAACAATCATGAATACGGATTAACCAAGCGTGTCAAACGGCAATACTCGTCGTTGATTTTGTACCATACCGATGCACAAAAACAAGCGGCCATGGAAAGTATACAAGAGGAGAGAGTTAAACGTGCACCAGAAATCATTATTACCGAAATTGCTGAAGCTGGCCCATTTCATCCAGCAGAAGAGTAAGTACTAATACAAAAGTCATACTGGTTATAATGTCTACATAAATATTTCGCATCATTTGTTTCAAGTTATCATCAGAAATTCCGATTGCAAGCACATAAGGAGTTCGTGAAAAGTCTACAGCTCAACAGTGAATTACTTCTGAAATCATTCGTAGCAGCAAAATTGAACGGATATTTAGTTGGCGTTGGTGGCCTAAAACAATTCGAAAAAGAATCTTCCGAATTGGGACTGAGCCCAACGCAACTTGAATATGTTAGAAAATATGTCATAAAAAATGCTGGTGCTGGACTTTCTTGCTAATTAATTTAATGTACTTGCAATTTCAATTGTATTCGATAATAAATTAAGCCATTTTATTAACGAGATAGTTTTCAAGTTGTGTTGATTTTCTTAACAGTGTAAAAAAGAGTGCCAGCTCACAAATTTGATGACATTCAGCAAATATCAACAGATGATAACGTCAAAATTATATTCTTTGAATGTGGCATAAACGTCATGCCACGGCTGCTGAAATAGAGCACAAACTACGAAATTGTAGGAAAATTTCGAATAAAACTATTTTAAACTTCTGAAAAGCATAGTATTTCACGGTGAAAGAATGTTAAAAGCAGTAATTCTAGTTGGTGGACCTCAAAAAGGTATTTACATGCGGAGACCAAACAAAAGTGTAACAAAATATAGTTTGTTTACTTAAGTAAACTTAGGCTCAAATTTAATATAACAATGAATTTTAGGCACACGATTTCGGCCACTATCTTTGGATTTGCCAAAGCCACTATTTCCTGTTGCTGGACGCTCAATTATTCAACATCACATCGAAGCATGCGTTCAAATAAAAGAGCTTAAAGAAATTCTGGTTATTGGGTATTATCCAGCGCACCAAATGGAACAATTTGTTGCTGACATGCAAAACCTATACGATGTTAGCATACGGTAAGTTTGATATTGTTATCTCTTTTATTTATTTGGCGTAGTATAATTCCTTATTCATTGGGTCCTTAGATATTTGCAAGAATTTACGATGCTGGGAACGGCTGGTGGAATTCATCATTTTCGGGATCAAATTCGAGCGGGAAATCCAACAGCATTCTTTGTTCTGAACGGAGATGTTTGTTCGGATTTTCCACTTAATGAAATTTACGAGTTTCATAAATCCAAAAGTCCTGAAGCGATGGTAAGGCAACGCAGTTAGTTCAAAGAATCAATTTGACTTTTAAGACACTGATAACATTTCTCTAGATAACGATAATGAGCACTGAGGCAACTAAACAACAATCAATACATTATGGTGTAATGGTAATCGGGCCGACAGGGTGTGTAAATCATTACGTCGAGAAACCTTGGTAATGATTTACTCATTTATTTGTTTATCATGCTGTTGCTGAAGCATCAACAAAACTTATAAAGGAAGATGACTCAATGAAAGAAAATCAATTTTAATTATAGTTGTCTAAAAATCTGTTCGTTTTTTCCTAGTTCTTATGTTTCAACATTCATCAATTGTGGGATCTATATTTGCTCATTGGATGTTTTTTCGGAAATTTCGCAAGTTTTTCATTCGCGTGAATTGCATTATTCAAACGGTAATGGTCAAAACCGTGATCCAGGCTACATTGAATGGGAGCGAGAAGTTTTAACAAAACTAGCGGGAACAGGAAGATTGTACGCTTTACCGGTCAGTCAATGGTGGTCGCAGATAAAAACGGCTGGCTCAGCTATTTATGCCAACCGAAGATTTCTCGATCTGTATAAGCGAACCCACCCTGAACGGCTGGCTAAGAACGGCGTGGAAAATAATGAATTTCATTGCGAAATTATTGGTGATGTTACGATCCACCCAACGGCTCAGATTCATCCTACTGCAGTGGTAAATAATCGTTTTCAATGTTCACAACTTTGGTTAGATACCACCATTTTTTTTCCAGTTGGGACCCAATGTGTCTATTGGACAGTACTGCGAAATTTCTCAAGGTGTTCGGATCCGTGAGTCAATTATCTTGGATAACGCAGTTGTAAAAGATCACTCCCTAATACTGCATAGTATCGGTTAGTGGTTGAACATATCTCGCAATATTTTTATTTCATCGTGTTAAAATAGTTTGAACATTGAATGTGACCATAAATTGTATATTTATTTTTGTTAAAGTTGGCCGCAATTCTAAAATTGGAAGCTGGGCTCGAATTGAAGGAACTCAAAGCGATCCAGATCCAAATAAGCCCTTTGCCAAATGTTCAACAGCCCCTTTGTTCAACAGCGACGGCAAGTTGAATCCTTCGATTACAATTTTGGGATGCTTTGTTACTGTAGCACCAGAAAAAGTTCTACTTAACTCGATTGTCTTGCCGCACAAAGAATTGACTCGGAACTATAAAAATGAAATAATTTTATGAAAAAAAAGTTGACATTCAAAATAAGAAATTAGAAATTGCTATTAATAAAGCTGTGCAAACGTTTTGTGTTTGATTTTATTTGAAACTCATCAGCTGAATCACAATAGCTGAACTCTCAAACTGTCAAATTATATATTCAGCTGACGTGGTGAGTTGAAATTGTTTAGATTTTGTATCAATGTGGTGGTTTAATATGACACAAAGAAATGCAAGTCACAATATAGTTAGTAATCAGTTGTTTGTCGTTCATTTCAAGTGTGAGTTAGAATATTATTGGATTGATAATAATCAACAAGTGCAAAGTAATTCAGAATTTTTCACAAACATCCTATAAAAGAGGTAAATTTATTTTCAAAATAATATTTTCCATCATTTTCGCAATGAAAACATAGCTGAAAGAATTTGAATATATACGTATTATAATAAGCCGAACCGAAAAGCAGATCTAGTCAATTTGATACATATACACTCAATTGATACAAAAATATGATGCGTAATTAACGGATCAATGATTCAGATTAAATTGTAGGTCAATTTTGTCTGTATTTCTCTGAAATTCTCTACATTGTTCGATCTAAAATCTATAAATATTACGTATTTATTCAGGCATTTTATACACTGTACTCTCAGTATCATATTACAGCCAGCACTATCACTATTATTTCTCTATTTTCCTTTTATTCCAATTTCCTAGGATTTCTGATCCAATCATGAAATCACTATCTGTATATGTGGTCTTTGCTTTAGCAGCAGCTAGTTTAGTTTTGGCTGAAGACAATGATAATCCTCTTTCCGATGAATTTATTAAAAAAATCAACGAAAAAGCTACCACATGGAAGGTGAGTGAATAACCAAAGAACATTGGGTTTTTCTGTGTTATTTTCATTGTTATATTTGCATTTGGACAAGTGAAATTGTTTTTGAAAAAGGATACTATTGAAAAAATTGTTTTTAGGCTGGACGAAATTTTGAAAACCTTGATCCTTCCGTGTCGAAAAAGTATATTCGTAGTTTAATGGGAGTGCACCCCGATTCAAAGAACTATCAAGATAAGCCAAAGTTGATGGGAAGTATTCGAGGTGATTTGCCTGAAGAATTTGACTCGCGCACCAATTGGCCAAATTGCCCCACCATTCAAGAGATTCGAGACCAAGGCAGTTGTGGTTCATGTTGGGCTTTTGGAGCAGTTGAAGCCATGTCTGACAGGGTAATTTTTTTTTTCAATTTTTTCCTTTTAACACAACTATGGTTCAAAACTAAAACTGCTATAATACGTCAGGAATGCATTCATAGCGGTGGTAAATCGCATTTCCGTTATTCTGCCGAAGATCTAGTTTCATGCTGTCATACATGTGGATTTGGTTGTAACGGGTATTTATACTGTTTTATACATAGATATTTTGGTCATATTTAATATTCGCTGTCTTTTCGTTCTCGCAGAGGTTTTCCTGGAGCTGCTTGGAGCTATTGGGTTTGTCATTTTGGAACCATTACTCAACTGCATGTTGTGATAAATAATATTTTTATGTAGGTACATAAAGGACTCGTATCTGGTGGTCCATATGGTTCGAATCAAGGCTGTCAACCGTACGCTATTGCTCCTTGTGAGCATCATGTAAATGGAACTCGAGGACCTTGTAATGGCGATGGAAAAACCCCAAAGTGTCAAAAGACATGTGAATCGAACTACAATGTTCCATATCAAAAGGATAAACACTACGGGAAAAAATCGTATTCTCTGGGAAAGAATTCGGATGAAATTCGTCAAGAAATTTATGAAAATGGCCCGGTAGAAGGCGCTTTCACCGTTTACGAAGATTTGATAAGTTACAAATCAGGTGGCCTTCACTTCTTTTTTACAATTTAATTGAACATATTTTTTCATTTTATTGATTTCTCTCTCTCTCTCTCTCTCTATCTCTCTCTCTCTCTCTGCCTCGATTCTAATATTTAGGTGTTTATCAACATGTTCATGGAAAAGCTCTTGGTGGTCATGCCATTCGAATTTTGGGTTGGGGTAAAGAAAATGATACACCGTATTGGTTGATTGCCAACAGCTGGAATACAGATTGGGGAAATAACGGTTTCTTTAAAATCCTCCGCGGCTCGGATCATTGCGGAATAGAATCTGAAATCGCTGCTGGTCTTCCAGCAAACGCAGATTAAAATCAAAATCCACGACAATTTATAATGATTTTATGTTTTATTTGGTTTCTTCAATTTTATAAATCCACATTTTTTTTAAATAAATGAAATGAAACATAAAAAACAAAAGAAATTTTCTTCGTCATATTATTTCTGTTTTTTCGAGCCTTTTTCGCTGGGGATAACATCTTTTTCAGTATATGCTTTGTAAGCATATAGACCTATGATGATGTAAACAGTAATAACGGATGATGCGACCGAACATGATGTGATTGTGAATTCGGAAAAATGGGTGTGTTCTCTTAGCAGATGTCTCGTTCCGAAAAATGCTCCAAATGGCAATGTAAACATCAAAATGCTGTAAAATAGTAGGTAGAGAAGTGCAGATGCGGCTTGTTTGGAAATTAATATTTCTGTTTGATCATCATAATGGCTTGTCTCTTCGGACGGCAACTCTTCTGATTCACGTCTTGCAGTCACATTCAATTCAGCCTTCTTAGTTTTACCCATCTTTTAATCGTGAAGTGTGCTTTAGATCTAGTTGGAGAAAAAAAAGTTACTCGTCAAGCGACTTCAACTATTTCCGTCTTATTTTTTGAAAAAATAAAATACCTACCTAATGTTTGACAAATTCAACCAAAACTAATTTTTGTTTGTTTGCTTCACGTGATTGTTTATTTGTAAGTTCTGTCACAAATGTCATTTCATTTTTTCTGTTAAACGTGAAGTTGTCTGTGATCGCGATGTGGAAATTGCCAGTTTTGTCATATTGGTGTGATTAGTAATAATTGCGATGATAATTATTTGCAACAATTTGTTTTTGGGCGTGCATAATATGATGCACTCAACAAAATAATTGCAATTTATGAAAAACTGTATCCTCAATGTCCATTCAACTATTCCATGACATTTAAAATATATTAATTTAATGACTGTGTATATCAAGTGAATAATCAATTTAATGTGAACAACCGAAAATTAACATGTATGATTTCTGATGTATCTTGGTTAGTGACAGATGTAGGAATAAAATATTGTGTTTCGTTGCTTTCGCATATTTTTCGAACATTTTGATAACTTTCACAATTCCATATCGTATAATAATTTAAAAGAAAATAATTGATAACTTTCAACATGAAGCCCCGTATTGAATACAACGAGTGTTTGCGCGATTCACCAGCTTTTCGGTATGTTTTCAACTTCAAAAAACGTGAATAATTCAAAGTGAACGTAAACTTTCACATTTACGCATTCCAGCAAATATTTGGAGGAAGAAGAGGCATCAATCGAAAACTTGGAACAGAAATTAGATCGAACCTTGAAGTTATGCACCCTTATGATTGACAGCGGTAAAGAATACGTTAAAAATCAAAGTGTATTCGCTACTTCGCTGTGGGAGCTACATTCACACTTCAAGGAAAACAAAGTTGCACAAAATGCATTATGCAAAATCATTACATGCTTCCAGGTAACTTCGAACGATTGATTTTCCATTCATATTGCTTATATGATGTGTGTACTCATTTCAATTTCAATATATTTCATTAAATATAGGAAATGAACAAATTTCAAACGATATTATTGGATCAGGCAAGTTGTATAATTTTGAAAAACTTGACATCATTTATAAAAACCGACATCAAAGGAGTTAAAGAAACTCGAACACATTTTTGTAAAGTCTCTGAAACCTATGATGCTGCGATAATTAGAAACGCCCAAGCAAATAAGAATCGCCTGGTCGAAGTCAATGATGCAGTTAATACTTTATCCGCTTCGTCGTCGTGCTTTCGACACATAGCACTTGACTACGTGTACTCTTTGACATCCCTACAATCGAAAAAAATGCATGAAATTCTGTCAACAGTAAGTTAACAGTTTAAAATATTTGAAGTTACGGTGTTCGACTTTCGTCCCCATTGAATAGTTTAAATGATGAAAAAAAAAATTGAATTTTCCAATTTATTCGCAGCTATTGAGTTATTACAAAGCCTGTAATACTTTTTATCATCAAGGATATGATCTGTGTAAAGATTTTGAAGATTTCTTCAATGGATTTAGTAACGAGGTATGTATAAGCATCCCAGATTTTTTTTCGAAGCGATCCGGGCCGGGCAAATCCGGGTAAATTTCGGAGAAATCCGGGCAATATCCGGGCGATGAGTCGCGAAAATTTCACTCAAAAATCCGGGCGAAATTCCAATTTTTCCCGGGCCGAATCGCTTTAAAGTAAGCGCCAAACGCACAAAAAACGAAAATATAGAAACAGTTTGCCAATTTTCGCCTTTGTGATACCTGGATAGACGTTGGCGTCAAAAGGCACGCACAGTACATAAGAGCTAATGCTATAATGCAGTAAAAGTCAATTGATGCGCATAAGTAGCGCCACCTCTAATGATTACGGAGAGTTACCATAAGTCGTATGCAATTGATGTTGAGAAAAAGAAGAAGAAGAAACAGACATTCTATTCATTCACATTGCAATAATGGCAATCAGTAGAGATGGTGCTCATGTGCAGATCATATCACTGTTACAACCCTTCGGTTGGCGTATTCTTCATTCCAAATACATGCTCCGCTTTTGCCACCCTTCATTTTCACTTTTTGTTTTTGTTTCTGTTTTAATCCGATCGTGACGACAACCAAATGCAAACTGATATGCATTTGTTCGCGACGTCGATCTACTCATATTGCTAATTGTTTATAGTAATTACACAAACACCAATAAAATATTGGACACAATATCGAAGTCGTCAATCATTTTCTTATGTTTGAAGTGTCAATGAATGAATTAATTACATTTGAGTACAGAATTTTGAATTTTGATTAAACGGTTTCAAATACTGTTCGGAATAGACTGAGACAATTATCATTTTCGGGAGAAAAAAGAATATTGCATTTATGAATGAAATTTTTTGAAAAACAAGAGCGAAATTCGGATCTATTCCTTTGAAAAATCCGGGCGAAATCCGGGTAAATTTGGCAATATCCGGGCATCCGGGCCGGGCGATTTTTTGGCCGGGTTTCGCCATGGAAATCCGGGCAAACCCGAATTTATCCGGGCGATCTGGGATGCTTAGGTATGTACCACCCAAAAATGAAGAAAAACAGAATAAAATGTTTGGATAGTCCAACCAATAGGTGTGATTGAATTTGACAGTAGTATATTTTGTCAGTTTCGAAAATAACTAAATTTACTCTTCAAAAATTTAGTTTTAGTAAAACATTTCGATACGGCAAAAAACTCATAAAATAAGTTTTTAAAAATCCAATCTGTATAAATATATTGTATTGTCTACCCCAATAGATATCGGCCATGCAATTTGAATCGAGTCAACTTGAGAAAACGATGCAGAATCGTCATTTGAGTGTGGGTCAGTTTTCTGAACCTCCCAGTTTTCTAACCGATACGACATCGGCAACGACGACACCAGTCACAACAACAACAACAACAACAACAACAACAGCAGCAGCAGCACTTGTTCTAACTCCGCAATTCGAGGGGTATCTTTTCAAACGAAATTCGAAAGGATTCAAGGTTTGTACTTTTTTCTACTTCTTCTTCCATTGATTCAATTTTGTTCGTTGATTTTTTTTGTAAGACATGGAATCGACGGTGGTTTATGTTACGTGACAATCAACTGCTCTACGTGTAAGTATTTCTACAAGAATATTGAAAATTATGTTACTGAAATAAGATTAAATGTATTTTCAGCAAACGTGATGGGAAGGACGAAGTGCCAACAGTAATGGAGGAAGATCTTCGTATTTGTACTGTGAGACCAGTAAATGATAATGACAGAAGATTTTGTTTTGAAGTAATTTCTCCACTGAAGAGCCATACACTTCAGGCAGACTCTAAAGAAATTCTGAATGCTTGGATATCAGCCTTACATAAACGGATTGATGCAGCTATTCATGGTTATAAAGAAAATGACCGGAGGAATACGCTGAGTGAAACTCTGCCTGGTGCGAAACGAATTCAAAAAATGTAAGTAAATTTTTCTTTTCATATTTGAATTGAAAATGAATGATGAACCCTTGAATATTATTGCGTTACATAAATTTGTCGCTTTCACTTTTCACTCCTTGTTTCGAAATGTTCTATTTTGATTTCAGAAAATGTGAAGAGTTTTACAAAATTCCTGGGAATGATACATGCTGTGATTGCAAATGTGTGGAGCCGCGATGGGCATCTATAAATCTTGGAATTACGCTTTGCATTGTAAGTTTGTTTATACAGCGGCAATTCCAAACAAAATCAGAGAAGAGTTGTTATGCGAGGTCGCCGAATTGGCTGAAACTGTGCATGGAGTCTTATTTTCGATAGAAAATGAGAGAATCAAATACTTAGGGCTGTAAGTGGAACACATTTTGAGTTCACCCAGTGTAAATTTTAGAAAAAATTGAAAAAATCGAAAAATGGGTTCGCGGCAACTGAAATCTAGCCAAGAACTAGTTAACACATTGCTAAACCACTAGTACCGTTGGAAAGAAAATCGATGTGGCTCATGTCGCGCCGCTTTAGATGAGAAATTAAAATTCCGTGTAATAGCCTAATTTTTATAGTGTTTTTGGCCTCAGCAAGTGAATCATATTTCATTTTTCGGCGTTTTGTGGGAAAAATGGTCGGAAATGACCTCCTACGATGTTTTTTTACTGAGAAAACTACTATTTGTTTGTTAAAATACATGAAAATATGACCATTTAAACACTGCTTTACCTATCAATTTTGTCTGAAATCGACATTTCTTCATAAAGCAAGCGAATTGTCGAAATTTACATATTAAATCACACTTATGGCATAGAAAAGTCACCTATGATGGCCTGTTATATATGTTATATTTTCACGTAGTTTTGCACGAGGAATTGATTTAGACTTATTTCAACTCTGTCTGAAGGGTCAAACGCTGAATTGAGGCCAAAATGACAAGACTCTATCCAAAATTTCGGCCAATTCGGCGACCTCACATTACAACTCTTCTCTGATTTCGTGTGGAATTGTCGACAGATAGATTTTTCTATAATAATAACACGACTACTTTGTCAATAGGCTTGCTCGGGTGTTCATCGTAGCCTAGGAGTTCATTATAGTAAAGTGCGTTCACTAACATTAGATGCCTGGGAACCGGAGATAGTAAAAGTCATGATGGAACTCGGTAACAATGCAATTAATGACATCTATGAAGCCAACTACAGCGAACATAGTGCAGGAAGACCTGATGATGAATCTCAATCAACACATGTACGCCGAGCTACGAGTGATTGTGATATTAATGTACGTGAAACTTGGATTAAAACAAAGTACATTGATAAGGCATTTGTGATACCAACCAGCTTATTAAATGCCGAATATGAAACGATACAGAAGAGATCGAGCACATTGAAAGATATTATCTTGAATAAAAATGGCTGGTTTGTTCGCCCAACTCGACGTACACGAATTAAATTACGAACTACGGAAAAATCGTCGGCAACTTCTGCAGCGGAAAAATCTTCTGATGGCAGTGAACTTTCAATTGATTCAAATCAAACCATTGACTTGAGTTTTGGTTCGGACAATAATTCGACAGACGATGAAGATGAAGATGAAGACGAAGACGAAGATGAAGACTTATCGCACAGAACGTCAGATGGAAATTTAGACGATTTTAATAGCGATATGATTTTATTTAAATCTACCAATAAACACAATTTACCAGTCATGTGCTATGCCCTTGCAAGTGGTGCTTCCAAAAGTTGGGTGAATCCAATGAACTTACAACGATCTTCGCTCCACCAAGCCATTTTATCGGTAAGTTCCTACAGTAATTGAATTGCAATAAAAAAAAACTAAAACAAAATCAATCTTAACAGAATTCAGTTACTGCATGCGAATTTCTCATCTTGAATGGTTTCCCTATCAACGCTGTGGATGCAAATGGCCATACTCCTTTGCACTTGGCAACTGAAAGAGGATTTACTGCCCAGGCATATCTACTATTGAAACATCAAGCGAAACACGATGTAGTTTCAAACGATGGGAAAAGACCTATAGATATCGCTGTTGAGCAGGCAAATGCTGATATTGTAACTTTGTACGTATTATCAAGATATTTTCATCTGAATTTGGGAGTAGTAATATTAAAGTCAGTTCTTCAAAGTTGTAGTGTACGGAGTAAACCAAATGTAATTTGCTATCACCACAAAAAACCGCTTGCTTCGTCGATTTGTCCAAAAACATAATTCTTCTTTCGAGATCACATATTAAAAATAATTTACGGACTGGGATAGTCTTTTTTGTATTCATAGCTTTTTATTCATTAATTTATACATTTTTTTGTATAAAGGACTGAGATTCGTTCTTTACAACACATGAACGGAACAAAATTCCATTCTTCAAGCACTTTGGTGAAGTCTGACTTTTATTCAACTTTTCTGCACCTTTTTGAATTAGTTCTTAACCCTCCGGTGCATTAAATTTTCCCAGAGCTGGTGAAATACTACTGGTTGTTGGTTGATTTTGGACCATATATAACGAAAAAAATATTCAAAATGCTGGATTCCCCATGGTTAACTCAGGAAATTCGATAGACATCAATCATAGAATAATCAAATCCATTGTTTTAAAGTGTCGAAAATTTGTATAAGATAATAATTAATTTTGACGAATTAATGTTTTCATGAACATTTTTGTTTATAACTCAACAACCGTTTGATATGGATTAATAGTGCAAAAAAACCAAAATAGAAAGGACACTTTGACGATAAACAAAATGAAATGTTTTGTGAAACAATGTGATCCGACGTACCGATTACGTTATATAGACGTTAAAATGTTGCCCGCTTAAAGGCGGTCGTATGCACCAGAGGGTTAAGATTTTTTTAACCCTCTGATCGTTTGTCGGGTGTACAACGCCCGAGGCGAATTTGAACCTCGAATAAAAGTACCAAAAAACGAAAAAATCATATTGAAATAGGTACCATTCGATAGCTTGAACCTTTAGCTATACGTCAGTGAAATTTCATGTGCATATGTGTAAGAATGTGTGAGATATTGCCTCCCACAACACATGTGCGCGCGTTCGTTTCATGGGGCGTACGACGCCCCAAGTGTATTTTTTCATGAAATCTGGACTGTGATAAGAGATAACGATTTAATGTCTTCGGCAAATATGTAGTACTAGAGGTCCTCTGCATCTTTACTAAAGACAGATATCGCTTATCTCTTATCAGTTCCGCAAAATACGCGAAAAACCACGAAAACGCAAATACACGGTTTTCCATTTATCACGGAACTGATAAAAGATAAATGATATCTGTCTTCAGCAAAGCTGTAGAGCAGATTGGGTTCTACAACTTTGCTCAAGAAACCAAGTCATTATCTCTTATCAGTAACGCGAAAAATGATAAGAGAAATCTCGCGTTTTCCGCGGTTTTTCGCTTAACTGATAAGAGATAACGAAATAAAGCATGTGGAAAATTGTAGTACTTGTGGTCCTGTACAACTTTGCTGAAAACAGATGTCACTTATCTCTTATCAGTCAAGCAAAAAAAAATTATGAAAAACCCCATATGGTGTGAGATCTTTCGCGGTTTTTCGCGTATATTGCGTAACTGATAAGAGATAAGCGATATCTGTTTTCGGCAAATTTGTAGTGCCGGCTGAATACTACAACTTTGTCGAAGACACCAATTCGTTATCTCTTATCAGTTACGCGAAAAATCGCGAAAAACGCGAATTTTCCCTTATCATTTTCCGCGGAACTGATAAGAGATAAGGAGATGGTGTCTTCAAAAAATTGTAGTACTTGACTTGCTCTACAACTTTGCTGAAGGCACTCATCATTTATATCTTGTCAATTCCGTGAAAAATGAGGAGCCGAAAATTCACGTTTTCGCGGTTTTTCGCGTATTTCGCGGAACTGATAAGAGATAAGCAATATGTGTCTTCGGCAAAGTTGTAGAACGGGTTAAGTTCTACAACTTTGTCAAAGACACTAAGTCGCTATCTCATATTACAATCAAGTTTTCATACAGAATTCACTTGGGGCGCTGTACGCCCCATGAAACGAAGTTAAGGTGTAAACGCAACAAACGATCAGAGGGTTAAACGCTATTATTACTGTAATTTGTTCATCAAACCTATATCTAACGGTATCTTTCTGAATATTAAAAAGGCTCCGGTTGACAAGATTGAATGAAGAAATTCGGATGGAGGAACATGGAACCGGGGAAGGAGATACATATAATGACGTTATGAATGATTTTTCTCGATTTGCTGTGAGTCAACCGCACAAGTTACAACGAGCTACATTGCCATTGGAATAGTTCCAGCTCTAGAATCGAAATGCTGTGGAGCAATTAGAATTTAATGTATTTATATTAAAATCAATGGTTTACTTATAATCTCGTATAGGTCTGTAAATTTTAAATTTTTAAAAAGTTGTAATGTGTTTCCAATTGTGACATTCCTTTTTGTATTCTGAATCAAAAGAAAAGTATTCAAATTTTTTTTTATAAATTAGTATCAATGGTCGATTACATAGTTTCCACAATAGTGTATGTTCCAATAAAACGGGATTTTCAATCGTAATAATTTGTCCAACATTTTCTATACTAAAATCAAATATGCGCATGGTTTCTCAAGACAGACATAAATGGTGTTATGAGGTGATGTTGACTACAGAATATTTTTTATTTGAATATATCTGATATTTCATTTATTTCACAATAATCTTCGCCACCAATTTTCAATCTCACAAATTACATTAGTGTACATAATGTGTACAGAAATTCCACACATAGAAGGCAAAATCCGAACATAACAATAAAATCTTGACCAAACCTAGCGATACATATAATTTCAAGAAGCTCAATGTGGCAAAATTGAGCCAAATTTGTTGTTTTTTTCTTTCATTTCATCAAGCAGAATGAAGCCAATAAAGGCTGATTTTCTAGGCCTCTGAGATACGCAAAAACTATATCCTAGTCCGGTCTTGATTTCTCATTAGTTCTTAATGCCAGATTAAGATTCAGCCGTACCAAAAACTGCGACAACACTTTCTCTGTGAGGAATTTTTGACGGTCCAGAATATCTTTTGGTAAACGCTCCAAAAGAACAAAAGCTATATGAAACGTAAAGCGTTTAATTTGCGATTTTAGGAGAATTTCAAAATTGCATCCCAAAATAAAACCGACAAATTTCGCTGATTTAGGTGGTTAAAATGCAACAAAAAACTGCGTATGGTATACAAAATTCTTAAAATCCTTTCTTGTATGAATTCCTTTTCGAATCTATTATTTAGCCGCCAATATCTATGTCATCTGCAAGTGTCACTACAAATGTCATCGGCGTTGGTTTCGGTTGTCATATCTTTGAAAGATAATTGAAACCTATCATCAAATAGCTAAGATAGTGTTATCAGTGGCTTAAAGTTAAAAAAATACCGGTTCGACATTATTTTCTGAATTTTGAACAAAGTATTTTTTTGGCTGATATTTTAAACAATAGAAGCAATTTAAAAAAATGCATCGTCTTCGAAATATACGGAACTATAGCAAATTAATTGACATTAAACCTGAGGTACTAGAGGCTTTGAAAACAAACAAGCCGATCGTTGCATTGGAATCTACCATCATTACACATGGGATGCCATACCCTCAAAATTTAGAAACAGCCATAGAGGTTGAAAATATTGTTCGTAACCAGGTAAAAGTTTTATTTTTGATCAGATGACATTTAAATATTTTAAATTAAAAAAGAATTACGCTGTATCCTTTGGCTTCTTCTTCTGTAATGTTCAACAATACTCAAATTTGTTTTTAGGGATCAATTCCAGCGACGATTGCCATTTTAAATGGAAGAATCAAAGTGGGCTTAGAACCAAGTCAATTTGAAGGTTTAGCTAAAAATGGTGCAAGTACAGTCAAGACTTCCAGACGTGACTTATCATATGTTTTGAGTAAAGGCTTGAGTGGTGGAACAACAGTCTCGGGCACTGCATTAATTGCCAATCAAGTCGGTATTGATGTTTTTGCAACTGGTGGTATTGGCGGCGTTCACCGCGAAGTGGAAAAGACTTTTGATATATCTGCTGATCTCACCGAGCTCGGGCGTTTAAACATTGCTGTAGTTTCGAGTGGGGTTAAATCAATTTTAGACATACCAAAAACATTGGAATTTCTAGAAACTCAAGGTGTAACCTGCGCTACGTATAACACTCCAGAGAAAGATTTTCCGGCATTTTATTGTAGAAAGAGTGGTTATAAAGCGCCATACAATGTTAATGATCCCATTGAAGCAGCCAAACTTATTGCGACATCGAAAACATTGAATTTAAACTCAAGTATTTTGATTGCTGTTCCCGTTCCCGAAGAATTTGCGATGAATGGTGGAAATATTTAATTATATTTATCTTGGTTTTCGCTTTTAAACTGATTTTTTAATTTCAGACGAATATATGAACCGTATTATTGTGGATGCTTTGGAAAAAGCCAAATTGTCTGGAATTTTCGGCAAAGACGTCACGCCGTTTTTATTGAATGCTATTGGAACATTCACTAATAATAAGAGTCTTCGAACAAGTACTGTCGCAAAGCAAGTTGGAAAATAACTAATGAACTGGTGCTATTCATAAAATTGTGTTCTTTCAGATATTGCATTAATTAAATACAACGCACACGTGGCCTCACAAATTTCTCGCGAGCTATCTAAGATCAAGCGCATTGATGAAACAAGCGTAGCATTCCAAAATCGTGAAATTCCGGTAAATAAAACAGACGAAAAGAGACGAAATTAGAAAATGGAGTTAAATAATTGTATAATAATAATAGGTGGTGATTGGTGGCTCATTGGTAGATAAGTGCTGCATTGTAGACGATTACCCCATCAAGGTAGTTTTGATCTGTAGTCTGTACCGATATCAATTGAAATTCATTTATATAGTAAGTATTAACAAACTTATCATTTTTAGCTCAACGGTGCTACATACCATTCACAATTTAAAAAGAAGTGCGGAGGTGGTGTGGGCAGAAATATTGCAGAGGGTTTGAGTAAGCTTTGTGGAAGCGTTGAATTCATATCAAAAATTGGTGACGATGAGGTGAGAAAAACAAGCTGTTTTGTCTTGATTACAAAAATGTAATTTCAGTTTTCTAACTAGAATGGCGACTACCTCTTAAGTCTTCTACCTGAATCCGTAACCAGGCATTCCATTGAACGTGACCCGGAACAATCAACTGCCTCGTGTGTAGTAATTTTGGATCGCAATGGTGACTCTAAACTATACCTTGCAAGCATGGATATTCATAAAACGATCGACTCAGCTATGGTATAATAACGAACATTTAATGAATATGATACAAATGATTCAGAACTACATTTTCCCTTATTAGATCAAGAGGTATGAGCACCTTATTCAGTCAGCTCCCATCGTTGTTTTCGATGCTAACATCCCAATTGATGGAATGGGGATTATTTTGGAATTGTGTAAGAAATATGAAAAACCAGGTGAGTCAATTTTCAT